GTTAAATTTATAAGATTGATGGTTAGCAGTATTGTCATTTTGAGCTTAAAATTTCATTTGGTATCATTTTTATTTGCATTTTGTCTTTTAGATGCCATGAGGGAAGGTTTATAATGATGGTGTGTTAATATCTTTGGAGATCCAAATTCTTTCTAATTTCTTTTGTTATATACAATTTGCTACTAGCTTCAATATATTTCTACAAGATTGCTAATATACCTATATATTGTAAGTAATATATTCAAAAAATAAAAAATTTAAATTTACTAATCTCCTACCATTGTTGTTGTTCAAGACATGGATGCAGTTCGAGCAAATCTCCCAAAAGTTCTTTTATCTTGTTTTGCTAATGCTATATGACAATAAAACTGTAGGAAAAGCAAGTTTGTGCAATAGCAAAGACTTAGCAAAAATGATAATTGTACGATGTAGCTTTTGAGGGATAAAAGTCAGATATGTTTTGGAATTTAGTGGAAGATATGGTTTAGAAAAGATGGAGAATTCTAGTTTATTGCCCTTTGAAACTAGAAGCCAATAGCCTAATGGAAAAACCACAGGCATAATTATAGGCTGGACTAGGGACCCATCTATTAAGCTATTGATAACAACTTCCTGCCATCAATGAAGTGCATTGCAAAAGTTTCTACAGGTGAGTTTTTAGTTGGAGAAAGTTTCTCCTCCAATATCACCATTATCTAAATTATTTAACTAATTTATTTAATTAATTTTTATATGACTTAGTGATGTGGCATATGGGCCACATTTAAGAGATCATTCCAACATATATGTCTTAGCAATGTGTAATTGATATTCCTAGTTCGATGTGGGTGTGCCTCTAAAGACCTCAACGAACCCTCTTCATATGTCAAGTCAAATTGCCCAAATGCAACTTCCAAGCATGTAGTGCAATTGAGCTAAAAGTGCTATGTATAACTTGGGATGGGATTCACAACAAGTGTTAGGTATTTGAGGGAGGGGAAATTTGTCTGTGTTGCAACTCAACCTCTACATTTTCTCCTTTGTTCATGGCATATTTGCATATCACTTGATGTCTCAACTACATAATTGCTCGGGAAATGGCATAATATGAATTGCATTATTCATTAACCTCATGTTTTTCCTTTTTAAGATGGGTGGTGTTAAATGGTTGTAGAGATGTACCCCTTTTTTCTAGAATTGCTTGTTCTCTATCTACTTGAGCTAATTCAAAGAAATTTTGATTTTTTTTTTTTTTTTGGCCTTCAAAATAGTAGATATTAATTATGAGAAATGTTCAAATACATCAACTGCTCAAATCCAAACCCAAGTCTTTCAAAGAAAGTGGTTTTCATAGTTTGAAACCATTCCTTCAATGATGAAAAGACAACTTTGTATATGCTATGATCATATTTTTATGAGAAATGATTAGGTTTTAAGAAAAAATAATAATCAAATCTAACTGATTTTTGTAAGGTGGTTAAGTGCAGCTGCTGTTATGTATATATGTCGAAAGACTCAAAATCAAGATTAAGGATCAGAATGAGACAAATAAAAGGTCAATAACATAATGAAAAAAAGGCAATTAATATTCAGGAACGGTTTCAAATAATCAAATTATCAGAGAAAGGTTTGGCTTATTAAAGCTCTATTGGGCCAAAAAAGGGCCTAAGAAACAAGAATCGAGATTCAAGACAAGACCCACTACCAAGGAGGCATTGCGCCTGGCGGTCGTTTACCTCCTCCAGCTAACTGAAAAACCTAGCAAAACCTCAGCTGTGAGTCTGTGTCCAACATGGCTAACGTCTTCCGAAAATGTCTACTTTCTCCAATGCAGAAGGGTTACTGTACGACATCCCCAATATTCTCTTCGCTTCCACGACCACCACCGTTCACAATTCAATCGAATGGGTATGCCTCAGAGTCGGCGCTATCATTGTCCAAAAATCGTCAAACCAACAAAAAGGGAGCTCAGAGATCGGAATCTCTTCTCAATTCGTTGAAAGCTTACGGCTTTAACGAAACCCATATAAAAAAATTGATCAAAACGAATGCCAGTGTCCTCCAATGCAGAGTAGAGACCAACTTCAAGCCCAAACTCGAGTGGTTCATTGAAAATGGATTCACGGGTACGATTCTCACTGATCTTATTTCCTTGAATCCTTATATTATTACTTGGAGCTTGGACTTTAAATTAAAGCCAATATTCCTACTCTTAAAGCAATTTCTTGATACCAATGAAAAAATTGTTACTGCTGTTAAGCGATCAGGCTGTTGGCTATCTAATAATAACACCCTAGAACAAAACATTCAGTATTTGATAAGTGAGGGGGTTCCTGTTAAACGTATATCATATCTGCTTACTGCTCAACCAAGAGCTATGTTGCAAAGCCGTTATAGAATTGCTTATGCTGTGAAAACTGTCAAAGACACTGGTCTTGCACCGGATGCTTTTAGGTTTATACATTTGCTTCGAGTGGTGATTCAATTGACTGAGTTGAAGTTGAAGAGGAAACTGGAAGTGTTTAAGAGCTTGGGATGGAGTGATGAGCAGCTCTTGAATACTATTAAGAATTATCCTATTTGCTTGTCTTATTCGGAGGAGAATCTGAGGTCTAAAATGGAATTTTATTTGAATACCATGAAGTTTGAAAGAGAGGCTGTAATTGCCAGGCCTGTGTTAATGACGTTATCTGTTGATAAAAGGATTCGTCCAAGATATGAGGTTATGAATATTTTGGGTTCAAAGAAGTTGGTTAAAGATGGCCTGAAGATGATATGGGTGATGGAAATAAGTGAAGAGCGATTCTTGAAGATGTATGTTACAAAGCATGTTGACAAAGTACCAGGTTTGTTGGATATGTATTGCAGCATCATCAACCAAAGAAAGAAAACGGACAGGGCAAAACAGCTGGCTAGTTGATTACAGAAGAGTAAGTTTTGATTCTATCTCTAATTTGAAAGAATTGTTGGTTCCTGTTGCTATGTTTTCTATGTTGACATTTTGAGCCCCAAATGATGGGGTCGGTTTGTCATTTTGAGAGAGACCTATGGGTAGCTTATAACACAAGCCTGATTTGTAAAAATATAATGACTATGGTTTTCCTACATTTGCAGGGCTTCCCCTGTTCTAATTGACTGCTGCTACTATTGATGCTTGCATCAAAGTAGAACGTAAACTAGGCTTTAGTTTTATTTCTATCCCATGTAAAGTTGCTCATGATGCAACTTCCAAAAGGTTGGCGAACTGTTGACTTCAAGAAACCAGGGATGGCTGCAGAAGAAGTTTTCAAGGAGTGTGAGGCAGAACTGCTCCATGCTGCTCGCAACCTCCATTTTCTCCTTGGTTCATTACACTTTTGCCAGACTGCTTTCCAAGTGAAGAAATGTCACATAAAATTCAGCCTTGGCTAAGGTGGGTGGAGAGTACTGACTGACTTCTTAACCCAAGGTCTGTTCTTGGAAGATTCCAATTTGTTGAAACAATAAGTTTTTGAATTTTGATGTGTAGTTTACCATATGAGGTTTCTTCTTTTGACATCTTGAACATAGTTTTCACATTGAAGTTATAGAGCTAAATTGTCAATTGATTTGCGTTGTCTTTTACTTTTTGTTGATTTATCTTTTCCATTTTTAGGTTAACTAAAATGATTGTTTGCTCTTTTGTGGATTGCCTTGTTAGAGAAGCCCCAAAAAAAATTTTTTTGCTTTTTTTTTTTTTATAGTACATCTTATAATGGGATATCTAAGGGAGAATAGTCCTCCAATTTTACTAAATCCTTTCCCACCTACCAATCTAAAATTTTAAACTCTTAATTAGTTGAACTATTTCTTTAAAGCATCTTATTAGAGGAGAAAACCACAAGAAAACTTAGAAACATATTTGCAATACAAGGCAAAGGGTAAGGGTATGAAACTGTCTCATTAATCTGCTAGGCAAGGGTTGAATTACTTATTAGACTAGTACCAGCTTGAAGCATTTTTATTCCTTGAACTAGTAGCATTTCAAGTGCAAAGCTCTACCACTTAAACAGAGGAGTACATATCTTCGGGGAGCCACCGGAGAGCATTATTTCATTGATGACAGCTGATATGCTAGGCATTCGTAGGCCTAGGGCCATTAGACCAATTCAGTGAGCTTTCTCACTGTCCTTTGTACCAAAAAAATATAAGTTTTCGTCTCTTTGAGACATTTACATTATGTCTCATTGAATGGATATGGCAATCTGTGCAATGTTCTGTCAAAATTTAAATGACGTCAAGTTTGCATTTTAATGGTATAGAAACGATTGACATTATGTCATGAGATAAACTGTGTCTTGATTATTGATCAAGCATAATCAAGACAGGTTCCACCAAGAAAAGTTTCAGGAGCTTGAAAGTGCAATTCAGAACAACACTTGACACAACAGTGCAAAGATGCGTTATCAAGTGGTTTTACAAGTACAA